AGAATTATTAAAAATTACGCAGTATGAAGTTAAAGAAACAATAAATAAGTAGAAAATTTTGTAATAGAAGTATGTGTGTAAAATAAAATACATGTATATATACAATGAGTTAGTAAATTACAAGGTTACAATATTTTTACTAATTAGAATTGAAATTAAATTTTGGTATAAAATTATAAATAACTTTCAGCATAGTATGTTCTGTTTAAATGTTTATACACGATTATTTCTTTAATTGTTAAAAATTATATGTAATAATTATTTGGTTAACTCTTACCTTGAGTTGAAGCTAAAAATGCACATTTTATCTTAAAAATTCACAACATAAACATTAATCTAAGAGCTATTGATGTAAATTTTTACCTGAGAACTGCTGGAAGATCTTTGTGCATGATTTTTCTGAATAACGCTTCCTTCTTTACAGATGAGGTGTGCTCCTTTCCGCCATGTTTGCCACTTAAAAATATTAATTATTTCGATAATCGTAGGAAGTATATTGCATTTTTCACCGCGGGGGCGCTGTAATCGCCACTTGTTAATCCCAATACGCGCGCATTTCACAGAAAATATTAACCTGGAATAAAAAGTAAAAAATCCTGTTCTGAATCAAACACAAAAAATTCATAAGAAATTCTTAGAAAAGAACGAAAATTATTATTAAAAGATAGAAAATTATTTCTTTCTATTAATTGTTGAAAATTACACGTAATAATTATTTGGTTAAATCTTACCATGAGTTGAAGCTAAAAGTGCACATTTTCACAAAAATTCACAATACAAACATTCACATGTAAATCTAACAGCTATTGATTTATATTTTTACCTGAGAACTGCTGGAAGATACTTCTTTCTGGATAATACTTTCGTCTTTACAGATAAACAAGACGTGCTCCTTTCCGCCATGTTTCCCCGCTAAAAATCGATCGTGAGAAATCTCGATTATTTCGATGATCGTAGGAAGTATATTCCATATTTCACCGTTGGGGCGCTGCAATCGCGCGTTTCGCACGAAATAATAACCTGGAATAAAAAATCAAAAATTTTGATCTAATACAGAAAATTCATGAGAATTTTTTAAAAAGAAACGAAAATATTCAAACCTGATGAAAAATTGTTCTTTAAATTGAGACATGAGAAATTTTATTACATTACGCAGTAGAATTATTGTTTTAACCATTAAATACGTACATCCTCAATAAATTATTATTAAATTTATTGCAATTGTTAAGAATTACGCAATATGAGATTAAAGAATAAACAAATGAATAGAAAATGTTACAGTAAAAGTAAAAGCATATTTTATATATATATATATGCATATATATAATAGAAAGGTAATCATATTACAAGGTCACAATGGAAATAGGGTTAGAATGGAGATTAAATTTTTATTTAAAATTATAAATAACTTTTTTAGCATAGTATGTTCTGTTTAAGTGTTTATATGCGATTATTACTACAATTGTTGACAATTATATGTAATAATTATTTGGTTAAATCTTACCTTGAGTTGAAACCAAAAATACACATTTTATTTTAAAAATTCACAACGCAAACACTAATTTAAGAGCTATTGATTTATATTTAACCTGAGAACTGCTGGAAAATCTTCTTTCTGGATGATTTTTCTGAATAACGCTTCCTTCTTTACAGATAACGCGTGCTCCTGTCCGCCATGTTTACCGCTTAAAAATTGATCGTGAGAAATATAGATTATTTCAATAATCGTAGGAAGTATATTCCAAATTTCACCGCTGGGGCGCTGCAATCGCGCGTTTCGCACGAAACGATACCCTGGAATAAGAAATGAAAAATTCTGATCTAATACAGAAAATTCGTGAGAATTTCTTGAAAAGAAACGAAAATATTCAAACCTGAAAAATTGTCAATACTTTAAATTGAGACATGAGAAATTTTATTATAGTACGTGGTAAAATTATTATTTTAACCATTAAATACGTACATTCTTAATGAATTATTGTTGAAGTTAGTAATAAAATTGTTAAGAATTACACAGTATAAAGTTAAAGAATCAACAAATAAGTTGAAAACGTTATAATAGAAATGTATGTATAAGAGCACATAATAGAATACACACATATATAGCAATGAGTTGTCAATTACAAGATTACAATATTTGTAATGGTTAGAATTGAAATTAAATTTTGGTATGAAATTATAAATAACTTTTAGCGTAGTGTATTCTGTTCAAATATTTATATGCCATTACTTCTTTAATTTGTGGAAATTATATGTAATAATTGTTTGGTTAAACCTTATCTTGAGATGAAGGCAAAATGCACGTGTTATAAAAATTCAAAACACAAACACTAATCTAACAACTATTGATTTATATTTTCACCTGAGAACTTTTGGGCGATACTTCTGGATAATTCTTCTGGATAATACTTTCGTCTTTACAGATAAACAAGGCGTGCTCCTTTCCGCCATGTTTCCCCGCTAAAAATCGATCGTGAAAAATATCGATTATTTCGATAATCGTAGGAAATATATTGCATGTTCCACCGTTGGAGCGCTGTAATCGCGCGTTTCGCGCGAAATGATAATTTGAAATAAAAAATAAAAGATTCTAGTCTAAATCAAATACACAAAATTCATGAAAAGTTTTCAAAAAGGAAAGAAAATATTTATACACTAGATAAAAAATTGTCAATACTTTATACTGTTATAATTTCGTGAAAAAAAAATTGTAGGACAATAACTTGATTTTATTTTAAAGAGCCTCCACTTTAAAGATCCTAAGTCACTTCTTTTTCCTCACATAAAATTTAACAATTGTAATTCAAAATTTAATACTAAATGAAAGAAGGTTAATAGGAAAAATACTCACTTTTAATGATCTTTAATATAAAATAATTTTTAGTAATAACTGAAGATTCATTGAATTTTATATTGATATGTATTGATAAACAAAAGCACAACAAACATTATTTTATTAAAATTATTTTGTGACATTTCTTGTTTTTTCTTCTTACCAAATGATTGAATAGTACGATCGTTGTCATGTATATCATCTCCTTTGAATAAAAAAACTAAAATAAGATATCGTTATACTAATGCTCAACTCTTTAAATACCTGATGCATGTAAAACTTCTGAATAGCCCGAGGGAAGATTAGGAACTCGAATCGGTGGAATGTATTACGGGACAGTGGCACGGCATGCTTTGTAAGGGAGACACGTGCATCACATGTTTAAGCTTTAAATGACGCTCAGAGTCCAAACATGTCGCGGACAAGTTAAAGCTTACACAACTCACCGCGACAGCATCCTTCTTTAACCTTTTGCAATTCAACGCACTTCAGAATCTAATAAATCACCTGAAAAAAGATCGTAAGATTAAGTACGGTATTGTACAAGATGCGAATTGTTTTATGAAAATGTTGGTTTCTTGTTCACATAATGATATCTCATTCTTAGTTGTACAAGAATAAGATTAACATCTATCGAATATTTATTGTGCGTGAAATATAACATTATATTTAAATCAATGATATTACATTTCCTGGATTAGTATTTCACACTAATATTCTTGTATGTTAAATTTTGAATCATGTATCTTTCTAAAATTATATTTTATATAAGTAGTTCTTATTCTATTTCTTTTATAGATGTTCTATCTCTTTAAAAAATGTTATCTAATCTCAATATTCTCGTTATATTTGATAATAAATTAGTAATCAAACGCAACTTTACAAAAAGAGGAAAATATATTGCCTAATATGAAAGTATAAAATACGTACAATTTTTGCATGATATAGTTGCAATGCAAAAACAGAAATTAAAGACTCAAGAGAGGGTGTCACAGTGTCAGCTACGGTGAAAAATTTGCCAATTAAAAAAATCTCATTTCTCCCGGTAACGAGGGGTAGCGAGCAATTAATGTCAACGGCGAAAATGATTTATGGGGTGAGGAGGGAAAGATGTAGGTCGTAGGCGAGAGGCTAGCTTATCATAAATTAATGAATTATCAGTGCTCGGTATGGAGAGCACGAGGGAGGAAGGAACGCGCGCGCACGTGGTACGTCAATATGGTATTTAAAATATTCATCGATGCACTCCGATGTACAAGAAATTTTCTCTAAGCCCTATTTATATCACGTAAAACTTTTATGCTTGCCGATAATTTCCTTTGGAATGAAAGCACCGATGAAAAAGAAAATTGAAACAATAGTGTACAATAACTCATCACTCATCGCCAGTTATTGAGAATTGTATCAATTTGATCATTTATGATTCTTACCAGAAATTCAATTAAAACGTATATTACGCATAGATCATCTCCAGTTTGATCATTTATGGTTCTTGCCAGAAATTCAATTAAATTGTATATCATACATAGATCATTTCCAGTTTCTATTTAACTAAAAAATCATTAACAAGAATATAAAATCATTAACAAGAATATAAAATAATTGAACTAGATCAAAATGTACGTTCACCAGCGAAATATGACTTAGTAAAGTAACATAGTACAAATTAGAATATTTCACCATTTACCTTGATGTATTCTTTAACTTTTATTCATTTTACTATCTTTTTCTCAAAGAGATAATAATTCTGAAAGAGAACATAATTCTTTTCCTCATTTACGATCTATTAAGAAGACGCCTAAAATTAAAGACTCAAATTAAAATGATATTCAAATTAAAATTAGATTTAGAAAATTAAACTTTAAAACCTTAAAACCTTAACCTTAAATTGAACCTTAAGTTAAACAACTTAAAACCTTAAATTAAACAACTTAAAAAGAATGAAACATGAGTGTGAAAACATACGTTGACTCGGAATTGTTTTTATCACTTATTTTTTAATCAGTATGCTCATTTGTTTTATATACGAATAAAAAGTAGATACACAACACAAATATTGTATTTTTCCCAAAAATCGTGTCTCTCTCTAAACGTTATTGCATATTCCTACATCGTCGACTGTAGCTGCTTACGGGAAACATAACTGACCAATCAACCTGTAGGAGGCGCCACTGTCGCCAACATGGCCACGTGCTAGACGTGTTTACGCGAACTGCGTCATCTTTCGTATTTTTCTTGCTCGTACACCAGAGTGTTAGCAACGAGATTACGGTGCTGAGTATCGTCATGTCATGCGTGTGTGACTGACAGTCATTAACGTGCTCCTCGTGGGCATGGCGGGTGTGGATGCGCCTCTACCACGGTGCACCTGCAACGTCAGGAATCTGGCTACCTGTTCCGCTGTCAATCAGGATTCACCCACGAGTAGAGTCGTAAGAAGTTACAGGCCACATGGAAGCCTCGCCAGATTACTTTACGACAAACAGAAGGCGGACGAACAGCTCGAAGCGTACGACAAAACTCAGGTAAATACTCAGCGCAATGTAACTAGGTTACATTTCCAATTCAATCCTACATATCTGTACCTAAACCGCGCGTACTCCGTTCTTCATATCGCCGCCTGAGGTCACGTCAGTGGCCTCAGGACCGTAGATACATTATGGTGTCTCCGAATACACTGTTACAATTATATAATTTCTCTTTTTTTGTCCTTTGCTTGGACGATTCATGAAATATTCAACCATCAAATTAATTTTACAATGAACTCGTTCTTAATAGGCACGCATATGTATGTAGATGTATTTTGATGTAAAAGAAATTCACGTTATCATTTCACACGTTACTTGGCCCTCAAGTTCGATACAGGTTTGGTCGTGCTATGTATATTGAAATCTGGAATTTGTTTAGTGGGTCAGATAAGATAGCAAAATTTCGAATGCAGCTGGTTCATGCGTTATTTTCGTGTTATTATTCGACGCTTAACCAAAGTACGTTTCTTGCTGACCTTAATTTAATTGAAATGACGTCGAGAAGAAATGTTTTTTTTTTCTCCGAATGAAGAATAAAGAACCTCTTGAATCTAGTCCTGGTAAATTCCGAGTGGCGCACGGGCCAACAGGATAATTGAGTTGCCGGGGGAGGAAGTAGTCACTATGGCGAAAGCAAGAGGGAGGGAGCAAAGAGAGCGGTAATAATTAGTACAATTACCGCACAAGGCTAACCACTGACTAGCCTCTCCTTCCTCGAACGACGCTACTCAAGAGTCAAGAGCATGCTCGGTAATTATGGGATAATTACGTTCTTGATATTCCTGAAACATCCTCAAACACTGATCCGGACCACTATCCAAAGTGTCTCGCTTCGCTCTATTTATAATTATCCGTCCCTACGGCTCCCTCCAATTTAACTTTTTTTCGAAGTCACGGTCGGTCACGCCAAGACTGTGATCATGCTACATCTATGAAAGCAGTCATAAGTCAAAAGTCTGCGAGCTTGGATACCGTTAGTAACGCTAGTTAGTTGCACAACTTGGAACGTCCATTCTATTAATACCGACGACAGCGTGTCATAGTTCGCGTTTTGAGTCCTCGTTGCCACGTGATTGTGAACAGCGTTGAAAATGATGGTGCAGTTAGAAAAAAATAGATTCTTGATCCGACTGTAAAATAAAGTTAACATGGATAATTGAATTCAGAGGTCGGCCAGGTGAGATAAGATTAAGAGTGTTTGAAATGGAGGGAACTTAAGATGGTGGGAGGGTAAAATTTCTTTGATTTCTGTGATAAAAAAAATATTCTTGAATTATTTTGAAATCAGAAGTTACGCGTGATGTTTCGCTTAGGTTCTTTAGCAAAACTCTGAAAAGTGAAATGTATTTATAATATATAGTATCACATGCACGTTTGGTATTCGTGTTTTTTTTTTTTTTCTATTTTCAATCATTAAGATTATAACTTTCTGCTATAAAACTTTTTTTTAAATGTATCTGCCTGAAGAACGATGAGGCGTTATAACCTGTTTCTTCAACTAATTCACGTTAAAATTTCATGTTTAAAATTCGCGAACGAATAAAATTTCCATGTTGCCGAAATTCCTCGCGAAACGAAGTCTCGTAAAGTTTTTGTCCTCCAGTCTGAGCCACGCTTTGAGCTTATTTCTACCTTCAAACAACAATCTCGAACGCGTCTTTTACATCTACGTCGTTTCACATCCGGCCAAAAGGAAAAACAGGGGAAAAAGAAACACACCCCTTTACGTTTTCCATTACGTAGCTACATAGGTTGGAAATCCGTAGAAAGTCGACTGGCACGCCCGACGCGTCCGATCGCGTATTTATTCATCTAGCGGAAGAAAGAAGCTTTTATCGGTGTTTGCGAGAACCTTTTGCCGCGCGACAGAGAGCAAATCGATTCGGAGAGCCGCTCGCTCGAGCAGGTGCTCGCAGGAAAAGGGAAGAATCCCATTCGGTCGCGTGAAACGAGAAATTTGAAATTCGTGCAGAGGGACGCCCCCGCGAGATTTCCCTCAACCCTCAAAACGCCGACCGAAATCGAGGCGAGACGTCGCTTCTCTCCCTCTCCTCCCACCCTCCCATCCTTGCGTAGCAGGCACTAGGTGGTTCTCTGTGAACCTGCCATCGCCTAATATCCCTGAGCAGTCTGAAAACTTTACTCTCAGAGCCGAGTGGCGTGGATGCGTCGACCCAGTGGTGTTTTAAGGTTTTTAAAAGACTGCTGGCACCGTTCGTTTCGCTTGCGGATCCTCCTCTGCAAGAGAGAGACAGCGGAATAGAGAGAAAGAGGGTCGCGTAGGGCGCTGCTTTGAAATATTAAGTGACTGATGGATGAGACTCCTGAGGGGAAGAAAGAGAAAGCCCCTATACCCGAGACAACCACCACTGCAAGATGCTTCCGTTCTTTTTGCGTTCCCTAGCCCTACACGAGAGTGTGTCCCATTTCTTAGAAAATTTTAATTCGTCTTCGCCGTCAACCAGCTCGCGGGAAAACGCGCGTATCTCAAACTCGCTCGTAATGGTAATGTAGCAGCACTCGTGATAATCACGTTTATTACCTTCCTGAAGTGTGGCAAAGGGAAGTTCTGATTGCGAGCAACTTTGGCGAGGTTAATGACGATTCGCTTTGACCATGAATTTCTCTGTTTGCTTGATGAGGTCCAACTGGTAACAGTGAAACGCAGTTTTAAGTTTAACCTTCTTACGTCCAGGGTATCTCACGATGCAATGTTAATTACGTAACGTTATGGATGAGAATATGAATTGCAGAAAGAAAGATTACATCGTATAGTAATAACGTTAATTGGGATCAAGAAAAGATGTCATAATAATTAACAAAATATGCAAAATAAGGACAGTTATTATATGAAAATTATTTGTTAATGTGGAGCCGATATTTTTCAGTGAACTTGCAAAGAAATATTTTATGGTTTTCGTCTATTATGAATATTAAGAATTTCGAACAGGCTCAAAGAGGCTACGATTATGTAACGTTGGAAGAATGTAAATATTACGTACTGTCTAAGAGGAAGAGATTATTTTTGAACGTGAATTATAATTTTTCAAAGATTATTTTTTCTCTTAAGCTTTGTGTCGTAACGATGTATTTTGAAGTAGGTGAGAATTTAAGCGGAATTGCGTTATGGCACGTTAAATTTAACTGTGATCTGCACTGGTCAAGAATCCGGATAACAACTTCTATTTGTGCTCTTTACGCAAAAAATAAAATGTTAATTCGCGAATATTAATTGCAAACGAATCTCAATCGAGTTTTTTAGAATGCAATAATATTTTATTTAATACCATCATAATTTAAAAGACTTGTAGCAGTAAAGCTTGAAGAATATTTATCTGTCGTATTATTTATAATTATCGATCGTACGTTATTTTAAAAATACCAACAGAAACTTGTCTTTTTACTAATTGTAATTCAAACAATTTCTGACACGAAGAAACATAATATAATATATTGTTAATAGTATAGCTTAGGGACAAATAAGTACTCCTTTCTAACAATGCTCTTTCTAATTAATACTCAAATAAGATTGAAGCTCCAATTGCAAGCGAATTTAAATTCTCAATTCTTCTCCATTCTATATGTCGAAACATGAAACAATTCATCAAAATAATCAACTATTAACGAATATTATTCGTATTACAGTGCGTATGTTACAAGAATTCATTTCAATGTCAATCTCTCCCGTAATAACACTGTACGATAAAACCTCAAAAAAAAAAAAAAAGAAAAAAATAAAAAAGAAATCACAAATGACAGTTTGCAAAACGACGGACACAATGATTCGTCACGTCCATCCAAGAAGCACAAAGAAACGCAAACGACAGAAATAAGTGTACGCGGCCGCGTATTCATAGGCTTCGAAGCGCGTTTCGAGATTAATCTCGCGTATGACAAATATACAGAGAGGCCGAGTATTCAGCAGTGGGGAATAAGCACGTGACACGCATAAGCTTAGACTAAATAACGACGATGTAAATAATATCGAGTCATGGTAGTGATTACGCGTTGCGCAGTTGCCGAGAGCACAATGCGACGAACGAATCTAGAGGAGAACGAAGACGAACATAGCGACCCGCTATCGTTCACGCGACGACGTGAAATTGTTTCGAGACAAAGGACAAGCACGGCGATGATACAGCCGCGCGTTTATGGCCACGGGAACGAAATCTAGGATCTTTCACGGCACTTTCGCGAAAGAAGATGTTGTCGGGGACCGCGATAAATTCCTATGGCCGGGTGGATCTTCGTGGATTTATCAAGTTGTATAATCGCGGGCGCGCGTCCCGTGCGCGAGCATGCGTGCGCAGTGGTCTCGCCAGTCTCGAAAAACTGATTTCTGGACTGTAGATCCACGCTCGATCCGCCGAACAAGTCGTATTTATGTCTTTATTCGTACGCCGGATACCGGTTTCCACCGTTGAACACCGATCCATTCGGCGGGATTCTTGTGCGCGTACACGATACGCTTTGTCGCCGAAACTTCTTGCGCACGGAGACGCGAGCGAGTCTCCTCCGATGCGAGGAGAGGGCCGGGTCCCGCCGACCGATTTGAAAGTCGCGGGGCAAAAAACCGCCTTTCGAGCCAAGACTCCGAAGGCTCGGTGAAACGAAGAATTTCATTAAAGCCCAGGCCCTTTTGGTATTTCGTATTTTTGCACGTTTCTTCCACGCCGGTTTCCTGCGAAAAAGTGAGGAGACGTTAGTCTGAGGATATTTTTATTTTTACTTTTCTTGTCATTAGGAGTTGATTCTTCCTTCATTTAAATTGGTGATTTTAGACATTTAGTGTTGTGAGATTTGGTCCATCATTTTTTTTTTCTTTTTTTCTTTATTTAAACATTACTATGAGAAAAAAAAAACGACACTTTGTCAATAACTGACTACAGTTAACGAATTTACGATGCCAGTAGTAATTTTTTATTTGCCACAATAACTATTACTCGGTATTGTACGTCATTGCGGAAGTACAATAACGTACACCAATAAAATCAATT